ACCAGTTGACTAGTACTAATATTGATTGCCATAAAGTTGTATTATACAAAAATGACTGGCACCAGGCTTTTTCCCCTCTATTTTGGGGAAAATGCCACACGGCAAATTTGGGAAATTTGTGTCGTAAACTTTTCAAATTTGGGAAAAAAAGTTATCGTAAAATTTGCAAATTTGGGAAAAATATGCTGGCATTCAAGGTGTTACAATTGTTAAAATAAATGATTAAATTTAAATTAATCTTACTTAGACTGTTCAGCTTTTTCTGTCATATCAAAATTACAAGACAGGCTAAAATGTGTACAAATGTAAAACTGATATCAATTAAAAATCCTGTTTTTATATTCCGTAACGCTATTTTGCGAGACCAAAATTGAAAATGCGGTACTTTTACTTTCAAATTGTCGACTTCTAGATTGGGATTTTTTTTTTTTTTTTTTGGATTGGAAAAAAAAATTGGATGGGGAATGGGGCCCATATTCGGACCCGTGGGAAAGGGGGCAAAAGGCCTGGCACAAAGTTGTATTAGATATTTGTGTTCTTTGTTTTGAACTCAAAGAGTAATTTTTACTTTATTCTTGGAGACAAGAGTATATTTATTCTCAAAATGTGGTCACTACTGCATAAAAAATACATACATGTATACTGAACCAAAAAAGAAACTTTCGCAAAGTATGTGCCAGTTGTTCAAGGGTACCACTTAGATGTACACTTTTATATACATGTAGTAGCTTGTAAAACTCGTTTGTTTGCAAAATCGGTCAGCTAATCCCCGTACAAAAGCCCGATGTGTTTATTCAACGTAAAAATCGAGTTTCAAAAGGATTGAAAAACTGTACTATCATATCTACATTCAAACTTGGATAAAGTTTCTTTTTTGTTTCAGTATTGGTACCTTAGACCACAGCTGTTTTCTCTCGGCCAATCAGAGAGGTTTAAAGGTGTTTGATATAACTATCATGTTTGTACTCAACTGAAAGGAAAAACCGTTACGTGCATGCTTTATGCGGGGAAAAAATATATGTATAAAGTAAAGAAAAAAGTGTAATTCCCTTCTTAAAACAGATAGCCATAGTCCTTTATTTCGACATTTCATCATTTTACAAGAAAAGTTACTGTATTTTTAAATAAGAAAAAAAACTAGCAATAATGAAGTAAAATGCGTTTATCGATATCAATCTATTTTACGACCTCTTTTGTGCTAATATTTTCAAGCACTGTGATTTCAATAATTGCAATCTGAATTATGTCCGGATCACTCTTAATAGCAGACACTGTAGATGTACATTCATTTACTGGTTTGGGAATAGGGGATTCCACTGGTGGGCAAGGGGGTGGAGTTTTGAACGGTGACTGGGCTGCGATTGCAACGCTAAGGAAATGCTATGCTTTAATGCTTCAGAGAGACGTTTGTAATATTTTCTAAGTTCATAAATGAGGTAAAAAAGTCAATGCAGGATGAATATTAAGCAAACAATAAATAAACGAATCTATAAGTCCAGTAAAATATTTTCAACTTCAGCCGGACAACCAATAAATATCCTGAACCCTAGGGTTCTTTAAGCATTAAGCAAAACGTTAAAAAAAAGTTACCTACCGTTTCTCCAACGAGCCCACTCTTGATAAGAAGCCACTGCCCATGATTTCTGTCTAAGAGTATTTTTGGGTAAGTAGTCTTGCTTCTCGACTTGTTATTCAAGCGCTGTGTACTGTGTTATGTCATTAAATCATTTAAATGAGGATTCAAGAGGAATAACAACAAAATCTCTCAAGTTGCGAAATTGTAATGTTATTACATTCAGAAATGTTAAATTCTTCCCAATTTTCCTCTGACTGCACCTTTGTGATATAAAATTATAAATGGAATGTGAAATCTATCATTCATTAGAGTGTGTATTCAGTAACTTATGAAAGAACATGAATTATGCTATTTTCTCGTGCATTTCTTTTGCCTACAATAAGGCCAAATAGATTGAATAAGAAATATTTGGATATCCCTATGTAATTGCCGGAGAAAAAAATTTTACGCATGTATAATCTTCACCTTAAACAGAGAAAACTTACTGTGGTCTAAGTCAGATAGATCGCTCGTACCAGTTGGATGTGAGATTTATCAACGAGCGAAGCGAATTGATAAATCTCACATCCAACTGGTACTCATGATCTATCCTATACTTAAACACTGTTAAAAGAAAAAAGGGTCATTCAAATGCGAAACTCGATTATACTATCGGAAGACAATCGATTGTGGTGGTCCGATTATTGATAGTGATTTTTGAATCCGATACCCAACACTAGATATTATACAGATAATAGTTATTACTTTTTGGTTCAGTTTTTTCTTTGTAACTATGAACTTAGTTACTTATTGATAAACAGGGCAATGAAACAAATAACATGAAGTGAAAACATGTATGGTCAACACAAATGCTCCCGGCTAAGATTTTTTTTTTCAAAAAAGGTTCACCCAGTGTAAACACAGTTTTATAACTTGATATTGTTATTGTGAAAAATATAAGATGGCATGTCGTTTCTATGACTTGTGATGAATTTGAAATATATTCAATTTACCAACAAAAGTTTAAGATATTAATGCAAGACTTTGACCTTGAACTCAGTGATCCCAAACTTCATCCAAACTTAAACTTATCTTTCTTGTAAATATGGGAGAAAAATACACAGAAAACCAGACAAGATAACTTTCTACTAAATATGAAGACATCTGTTCATAAATAAAGGCTGTTTGTGCAAAAGTGTAAAAATTGATACAACGAACTAAAATCGTCGCAAAATACGCCCGTCACAAAAACTTTTGACAAAGATGTGGGCATTTTAGATATGCATATGGGACATAATGCTATGGTCAATATCCGGACAATATCTGGATATTTTATCATCTCTAATAACCTTATAAATATTGGCACACTTGAAGTCATGACAGTAATCATTTGTGTTACAACCCACCAATAACTGATGACTAAATGGTCCCTGTACACATCTTCTGTTTTATCTTAAAGGGTCTCCACTGAGGTTTAAACGCCTAAAAACATAACATTAGAATTTTTTACATAAATGAATTGTTTTAGGCGCTTTAAACAGAAATATATGCAAAGGTAGTTAAAAATATACCTTAAAATAAATCGAAAAAGTTTATGCTTTTCTTAGCCTAATTTGAGTGAAACGCGTTTAAACGCTTTTTATTTTGGTCATTTCTTTACAATTTGAATAATTATTATGGAAAAACGAAGTGCGCGAATGATTTGAAAGTTTGCAAAAAGATTCGTGGTCTACACCTTCATCAAATGGTACATTTATCTGGAAAAAAATATTTTCAGTCCCATCATGTCAAAAAACCTCAGTGGAGTCACTTTAACTTTAACCTCTCTATGTGACATTGACTTTGGTAGCAGGGACCTGGATTATGTGCGCAATACTTAGCCTCACGATTGTGAAAGTTATTTGTGCAAAGTTACATTTAAATCACCGGATGAATGTAGACGTTTTGCTCCGAACAAGCAGTTTTCAATGACTTTTAAGTGTGACCTTAACCTTTTACCTAGAGACCTTGTCCATGCACGTGACACTGTTTCTAATAGTGGAGAACATTCTTGAAGTTTCATTAGATTCCAATCATGCATGTACGATATATGCTTTGGATAATTTTTTTATATTTTATAATCTTTAGTGACCTTGCATATATTTAAAAAAATAATGTAGTCATGATAATGACCATTTGTGTTTCAAAATGGTCCATATACACATTTTTATATCTTCATCTGAACTTTGACCCCTATTGTGACCTTGACTGCAGGGATCTGAATTTTGAACGCGACAATTTGCCTTAGGCTAACTATATTGAACATTTGTACCAAGTTATATTGAAATCCCTGGGCCTCTATGCATGCAGTCGTTGTTTTTTTTATCGGACAAGCGTTTTTCAATGATCTCAAAGTGTGACCTTGACCTTTGACCTAGAGACCTGGTAGTGGTGAACATTTCAACGCCGTTTCATTAGAATTCTTCCATGCGTGTAGGAGATATGCTCTGGACAAAATCTCTATATTCTATCATCTTTAGTCACCTTGTACTTGCATATATTTTTGAAATGAATTACATTGTTTCACACAAATGTTGACTGGACCATAGCCTCTGTAACAGCATGCTCAATCTTAAATTTCCTGTTACAATGGCAACGGGAGACGTCTCAAAATTGCGAAAAATTACTATTTTACATTGTTTTTTTCCATCAAAATTGATTTCAAAGTGCTGCAAATTCTCAATGAAAAAGGCCTTTCAGCGTCGGTTACTAGGCCATGTTCAGCCTGTCACATGTCAAAAATTTTCTTGGCGCTTTTTCACTGTTTGAGGCCTCAAAAAAGGGGGGCTGCAAAAAGCCGTCAAAACAGGTCTATACGAGGTAAAAGGTTAAGGGGAGGTAACTGGAAAAAAACTGGATATCACAATAATGCATATTTGTATGGACACTGTGTTTATGAATATAAAGTATGTGAGTAAATTTGAAGCATTTGTTACAGCCTTGCTGTTGAAAGGTCAACTGGTCAAACACCTTGCTGATGAAATGTCAACTGGACGGACAAGTACTATTTTCATATACTTTGTACCTGCAACTGACGAATGTCTACTATATTTCTGTAAAGGTCGACGATCATTTGCGCTACGCAGTGTGCGCATGCGAAAAAAAAACTTATATGGTCGATTTTGTATATCTCCTAAAATAGCTTTTGTCCAGGCCGGACCACCTTAGGATTATTCCTGTAAAGTCAAAAATCCATCAAGTGATTTAGGAGATGTTGCATATACGAACTCTTCCATCACATAAGCTCCAGGAGCTTTTCGTGTTTGCTCAGGTGAGCTTTAACACGTCATATATGGGCAACGGACGATTTTTGTAAAATGTGTGCGCCATTTTGGACATGCAATTGTCCCGTTTCTGGTCATTTAGGGATATGTTAAAAGAGGTAAAATAAATGAGCACCACATAATAAATATAATCATTCTAGTTTATTTTTTGTATCATAAAAACTTTAATGGCATTACAATTTGTAAAACCCACATAGAAGGCACAGCCCTAACAAAACTGTTCAAATTTATAAATATTTCAATGCTAAATATACTCTATATACTGTACATATGAATAGGATTTTTTTTAGAATAGACTGCACGACGTCATCCAAACTTGTTTGACGAGAAATTACGATATTTGATATTATTCTATACATGTAGACTTATATATTTTGCTATACAATTACTGCATGTGTCACAAATATGATCTCCACAGAAATAAATTTTGTATTGAATACGAGGGCTTCCTATTTCTCAGGATGACCCCAAATGACGTCAGTCACGTAGCCTGGGACATACGATAATTATCGTATGTCCCAGACGTAGCCAACTTTGGCTTTAATACTGTAAGTTATATTTGAAGAAAACAATCTGAATTCAAAAATGTTTAAAATTGTAAGACTATCTTGATGCATTTTTTATTTTCGGCTCAGAATGGAACAAAACACACCTGAAGCGTCCTTGTATCGTGATGTCCTAGGCTGGTTAAATAGACTGGAGACAAATACAATTTCCGATCAATATACTGTGTAAATATTACTATTTTATTCAAGATGTTGCCAAAAAACAAAGGCCAAGTCATATACATGTAAGTAGCAATACAAATGCCCTGACACAGTTAATAGTTCTTGATTCCAAATCAGTGCTTTAACAAAACAAACAGTGTGTTGCATCTGCAATTTGTTTCAATTCTTGACACTAACCATTGCTAAGTGAGATAATTCACTTCCTTAAAATCTTCATCTCCCTTATAAAATAATGACTGTAAAAAAATCTGACATTTTTGAGGTCTAATGAGTTTTATTAAGTATGTCCCGAAGGCCTGATGAGTTTAAAATATAGTATATCATGAACCCTTGATGTAATAAAATCCAGTATATCACCACGAACGCCTGATGTGTTACAATCAAGTATATCCCGAAAGCCTGATGTGTTAAAATCAACTACATCACGAACGCCTGATGGTTCTAATACAGTATATCACGAACCCCTGATGGTTTGAATATAGTATATCACGAACGCCTGATGTGTTAAAATCCAGTATATCACGAACGCCTGATGTGTTAAAATCCAGTATGTCACAAACGGCTGATAAGAAAAAATCAAGAATATCACGAACGGCTGATGGTTTGAATACAGTATATCACGAACCCCTGATGGTTTGAATATAGTATATCACGAATGCCTGATGTGTTAAAATCCAGTATATCACGAACGCCTGATGTGTTAAAATCCAGTATATCACAAACGTCTGATAAGAAAAAATCAAGAATATCACGAACGCCTAACGTGTTTAAATCCAGTATATCACGAATGGCTAGTGAATTTAAATCCAGTCTATCATGAACGTCTGATGTGTTGAAATCCAATATATCACGAACATCTGAGGACTTTAAGTTCAGTAGTTCACAAACGCCTGATGAGTTAAAATCCAGCATATCACGAACTTCTGAGGACTTTAAGTTCAGTAGTTCACGAATGCCTGATTAGTTAAAAATCCAGTATATCACGAATGTCTGATGTGTTAAAATCCAGTATATCACGAAAGCCTGATGAGTTAAAATCCAGGATATTGCGGACGCCTGATGTGTTAAAATCCAATATATCAGGAACGCCTGATGTGTTTAAATCCAGAATATAACGAACTGTCCTAAGATTTCTGTACTAACATGATAATTAACACATAAATACAATAAACAAATTCTATTTCACACAATGAATTCATCTTCACTCAGAGAACACACATACGCTTCATCATCTTTCCCACTAGAGTTCTTTCCCTTTGATGAAGGTAGTGGCCATGGCAACAAGGCACTCAGCTGCTTCAAAGTGCGGTCTTTTTTGCGAAGTTCAGTTGTAAGTTCATTAATTTTTTGTTCCATTCTGCGGAAATCTTCGTCTGTTGGGGATGTTGAGTTCTGAAAAGTTTAATTAATAATTTTAAATGACATCGATAAATCGATAAAAAAAGAATATACAAATGTACTTACCATAAAAATGATATAATTACACAGCAATTTTATTAAAAACAAGAAACATGGCAATGCCATGAAACCAGGTTTTCAATTATCACCATTGCAGATAAATATGTTGTATTTGAAATACAAATACAAGCAACAAACAATGTAACTATGTGCAATGTAAAACATGAATAATGTAGGAGGAATTGCCACTGAAGAAGTGTTCACTATATATTCTGTATAAGGAAAAAAAACAAAGGGCCATAATTAGGTCAAAAATTATCCAATCAAAAACCCCGACAATATGTGCCAGGGTGCTTGGTGACAAAGCTTCTGTGAAAGTTTGAACAAAATCCGTTGAGAAATGTAGGACAAGTTCAGCACAGAAGAATTTGTTCACTATATATTCCGTATAAGGAAAAAAAACAAAGGGCCATAATTAGATCAAATATTATCCAATCACAAAACCCTGACAATATGCGCCAGGGCACATGATGACAAAGCTTCTGTGAAAGTTTGAACAAAATCCGTTGAGAATTGTAGAGGGAGTTCAGCACAGAAGAAATTGTTCACTATATATTCTATATAAGGAAAAAAAACAAAGGGCATTAATTAGGTCAAATATTATCCAATCACAAAACCCCGACAATATGCCGCAGGGCACCTGGTGACCAAGGTTCTGTGAAAAGTTCAAATTTTTTAAAATTTTCAAGTTACAAAGTAGACATGAAATAATATATCATATCTTTTTTAAATTACCTCCAAAGATGATATGACCTTTGACTGCCAAATCAAGTTAAAATCATGTAAACAGGATTTTCAATGTTAATGTCACTGTGACCTTGACCTTGGAGCCAGCCATGCGGAACATGCGTTCTGCACGTCATCTTGATGTGGTAAACATTTGTCTGAAGTTTCATCAAAATTCTTCAAAGGGTTGAAGAGTTACAGAGCGGACAGGATTTTCAATGTTAATGTCACTGTGACCGTGACCTTGGAGCCAGCCATGCGGAACATGCGTTCTGCACGTCATCTTGATGTGGTAAACATTTGTCTGAAGTTTCATCAAAATTCTTCAAAGGGTTGAAGAGTTACAGAGCGGACAGGATTTTCAATGTTAATGTCACTGTGACCTTGACCTTGGAGCCAGCCATGCCGAACATGCGTTCTGCACGTCATCTTGATGTGGTAAACATTTGTCTGAAGTTTCATCAAAATTCTTCAAAGGGTTGAAGAGTTACAGAGCGGACACAATTTCGTTTGACGCCCGCCCGCCCATCCGCCCAGCCGCCCATCCGCCCATCCGCCCGCCATACCCCAATCTAATAACCAGGATTTTCAAAATTGAAAACCTGGTTAAAAATGTTATTTAGGAGTATTTAAACAATATGAATCTTTTAAAATGACTAATGGCTCAATACTGAATTTACAGGTTAAATTAATTAAATATTAAAACTATACAAACATTATTGTCTATTTACTTTATTTCATTTATTTATTATCTTTGCTTAGGTACAATGTTCAGGTTTACTGGTGGTTGAAGACTACCATGCATCAAATGAGGCACAAACGGGCACCTGAGTAGAAGCACTGACTTTCCGTAAGCTAGCTTGATAGCTTCCTCACAAGAAAGAATCCAAAGTCCCTTACGAAATTTGAACTCACAAGTGGTGTAAAGTATGTTCTATTTATTACATACCAAAGATAAGAATGATTTACAATCAATTCTTGATGCTCTTATACTGCTTTTATAACATTTACCGCATATGCATATTAATCACATACCCGTGCCGATTTGGCGACTCCCTTAAAATTGTACTATTGCACAAACCTGCATATATTTTGATGTCACATCATTTACGTTATACAAACATAGTTTAAATACAAGCAAAAAACAATGAAAAATGATATTTTTGCAATTTAAATAGTCTTATTTTGGGTATGTGATAGAGTATTATGGTTGTGTAAGTTCATTACTTAATTTATAGAACTCGTTGAATAATATAATATTTTGCTTGCTAGAGGCTCGCATAATATAATTTAGTTCAACTCTTTCAATAAATTCAGTATTGAACCTGCACTCATTCAGTATCCTGTATTTAACACATACTGTACATGTATGATTTTACTTCAAAATATATGCACCACCATGCCATATCACAAACGATGCACATGAATAAGATAAAAAGGTTTCTTACTTTATCTCTCATTGGATGGTTATCTCTTGCCCTGTCCCTGGCAATAGTTAACAGAAGTTCTCCTTGGCAAGCTTGGAATACATTTGTCAAAGTCGGTAAGTCTTCACCCATAACAAGTCTCTCATTAACCTGAAAATATATATGTATGACATTGATTTAACTCTTGACAGTGTGTATTTGTCTGTATGTTTTCCCCATACATTGTATTTACAAATTGGTTAATAGTACATATCAGTAAATAGGGGCATTCCACGTGCAAACAATGTTTTTCATAAATTGCGAAGCATACAATGTACATTTCCAATCATCCATCTGTATCAATATTGTTCTATTTTCGTTTGGAAGGGAATCCCTTGAAATTGTTTATTCAAAATTATGAATTCAAAGCTTTTCTTTTATAGTTACTCTAAAATCTCAATTTGTATCATTGAATATGCCTTTTCCTTTTTCAAATGATGCTGGTGGCATTTCCATAAAATATACATTGTAAAATTACTTACTCATAAATAAAAGAAATTATGCCAAACTTATCAAATAAGAATAATAATTATTATTACATTGACAAGATGGAATATATATTTTGAACTTTGACCAGATGAACAGGATATTGAATGAGCCATCATGTGAATCCAATATGAACCACTATGAGAATCCAATATGGTTATCCAATATGAACAACCATGCGAATCCATTATGGTTATCCATGCCAGTCCAATATGGTTGTTCAGCTTAAGTCATATATGGTTGTTCAGCTTCATATGAGCCCAAATATATTCCATATTGCATATCAGAACACATTTAAATGTTATTTTTTATTTAAATACCCATACATATTCTGTTAGCATTTGTACTTTTAGTTATTTTTAATTACAAGACAATTCCAATCATGAAATAATTGGAATGCACTTTTTAACAAAATATGTATATTTTTTTCCATACCTCAACAATTAGATCCCCTTTCTGAAGCTGTCCTGACTCAATAAGTCCTGTCATCTGATTGGTTAATTCCATAATAGTAACCATGGCAACTGATTTTATTGGTGAAGTATTAACAACAGATACTGGCCGGAAAGCACTGTTGGGTCCTCCTAATTTTGCGTAACTTCCTTTTGGACTGAGAGGCGAGGATGTGTCTTTCCCGAATAACCAAGGTGAAGGTAACAATACCTCGCACTCTTTAAGTTTAACATTTTCCATTATCACAAAATTGTCCGGAATTTGAACCCGTACTGCGTACATAGAATAGTTTTGAAGTAACTGAAACAAACTTGGTTTTCCAAAAAATTTCAAACTACACTCTGGGCGAGTCTGTGCCTGGAATTTCCAGCTGCCAGGAAGAGTGTTTGTAGAATTGGCACTTTCTAGTTTCAGAGTTTCTATTGGCACTATTTGTTTATCAGTGCCTATCAAGTCTTTTAATGAACCAGTAAACTTTGGCTGAGACTTCGACAAGAAACCACCAATCGGAGGCTCTGAGCTACTGTTAATAAGGTTTAATCCTTGCGCCATGGAAATAGATTTTCCCTTAGATTTACACGTTAATTGGTTCTGGTCCTGATTCCGTTTTTCTAGGTCTTTGTACGATACTTCCGATTTATGATATGCCAAAGTTTGTTTCCCATACTGAAAGGTTCGCTCTGGCTTTATTGGGGCATTCTGTGTAAGGTCTAATTCTGTCACTTTATTTTCTGGAATTTTGGGGTGTCTATTGTTATTCTTGTCCATCTTATCATTGCTGTTATTATTTAATTTTTCATTACTTGGAACTGGCTGTAAATGAAGTTTCAAATGATCACTCATATAAGTTCCTTGATGATTTTCTACCCAATTTCTTGTATGGGAATCTTTAGCATGTTTTTGATTATATGGATTTATATAAGAACTATTAGAATGGTCTCCCTTGGAACTTGTGGGTTGTTTTTGAGAGTGGTCTCCCTTTGTCGGTTTATAAAGTTTATGAGAAGTGTACATATTATGAGCGGACTGTTTTAATGTTTTGGCATAGGATGAGGTAGATAATGTTTCTGGGTCAGGGTCATTTGTTATATATCCTGAATCAATTGTACTTTGAGATGTTAAAGTCGTCTGCCCAGAATCACTGAGTCTGCCACCAGAGGGCGGCACATTTCCATGTTCATGTGACCCGAATGACCCAGATTTGCGTAGAGCATTATGCATTGTGTCACCATAACTAGGAGGTACTTGTGAGGCAGGAGTTTGTTTTTTACTACTACTACTACTATTATTGTGATTATTATTACTATTAATATTGCACACATTTCTAACACCTTGCATATTCCATCCTAAATCAGTTTTGCTGCTATGGAGTAAGTCAAAAACTTCACGGTCAGACACTGACGGAGTTGCACTTATTCCGCCTGGTCTTGGTTCAATCGAACCATCCCTGTTAGAATTACTAGAACTTGGGCTAGTGCTACTGCTGTCCACGCCCATTCTGTTGATCATTATATCGGTCATCTGTTTTTTCTTCACTTGAACGTCGCCTGGAGGTTGGGGCAAACATCTTCGTGGCTTTAGAGGAGTTTTCTCTCTATGTCTCACAGGAACTGGCTGGTTATAACCACTCTGTTGTTTATTTGTTTCCACAGACATTGGTAAATGTTGCAAAGACCCATAATGCTTCAGTTTATTAGCGTTATTGCCGTTGGTAGATGGTTGTCCATCACCGTAATACTGTTTGTAAGTGTCCATGTCATCTAGAGTTTTACCTCTGAATGGTAAACTTCCACCACTACCATTTGAGGCCATTTCTTTATAATTTCTTATATGCCTCATCAACTGTGTCCCTGTGAATTCCAGCACAGGCTCATTTCCTGGAACATCCGGTTTCTTTTGACCAACCAAAGAGAAAGCACAACCCGTACTTAGGTCCCCCAAAGAATGAGCCTTTATCACAGATTCTTTATTGTCAATTGTCAAAACATGACCTTCCCTAACATCAAGCAAAGATTTTCTATCCCTGAATTCATTTGACCGTCTTTGCACTATTTTCTCAGAAGATCTAGGTCTGTTTTCATGTTGTTTGGACCCAGTTGTACCACCCTGACGATATGACTGTTGGTTTCTTGAATCAGAACTTGTCTGTTTTTGTTCAACTGGTCGATTCCTGTTGCCATCGGGATAAAACTGACCCCCTGGTACATTTCTAACCCTTCCTTGTTCATTCTGTCTATTTCTATTCTCTGAACCATTACTCTGATTCCTTTGCACTTGTCTAGAATCCGCAGATTCCAATTGTTTGACTTGGGATCTAATGTCTTTATTTCCAGGACTTGGTCCTTTATTTTTGTAATTGCCTGGGCTTGGTCCCTTGGAACGATATTCATGCTCACTTGGAACATTTTGTTGCCTAGGATCTGAATTATGTCTGGGCATATTTCTATTGCTATTCTGTTGCCGTCTGGCAGATTTAGGGGAACTGGTCATATGATTTCCGTTCTGCACACTCTTACTTAAATCTTGTTTAAATCCAGAATCGTACATTTCATCACTAGATAACGGAGCCTCACTATGAAATCCTGAATCATGTTTCATTCTCATTTGCAGAGTTTCTTCTGGCCTTGTATCCCTAATTTTATCACCAGGACTTTGCCTTACATTTACATTAGATATAATATCTGGTTTATTCTCAGTTCTTTCATAATTTGTGTTTTTATTGTGCGAGGAGTTCAGATTATCTCCGCTTTGTGAACGCTGTAGATTTTTATTATATTTCTCTATATCACTAGCATTAGTTCTTGGAGGAACAGCAGGAGGCGGTCCTTTAGGCCTTCCATGGGCGTGACCTTGACTGAAAGCTCCACCCATATTTTTATTATTGTTAATTTCTTGACCAGATTCGGTCAAATCAGCTAAACTCTGAGATATATGTCTATTTCCTTTCTTTATATATGGGTAAGAATTAGATAAGTTAGGAATGTCTTCAGAACGAGGTTTATTAGACACTATGTCATTTTTATTCACTTCCTTTCTGTCGTCTGCTGAAGATTGGGATTTGAAAGAAGAGCTCTGATTGGCTGTTGGTCCTTTAAAAGGAGCACTCTGACTAGCTAGAGTATTCCATTCTTCTGGAGGTAGACTTAGGTCTGTTTTCTTCTTAAACTGAAAAAAAAATATTTTAAAAGCGTGTAATTTTTTTATGTGCAATTCACTGCATTAAAGTTGCCCCAGAAATGTTACAAAAAGCCTGAAATAGGCTCTATTTCTGAAGCTTTCCTAGAGTCTGTCTAAATGAACAGACAACACATATAAGATCTTATATATAAATTGTTAAATATGTTCAACTTCCAAGTATGAAACTTGATACATCAAAATGTGATAAACAGCATTTCAGTTCATAGATCTATACTTTAATATCTAATCATAATTATGGTCTCTTGACATTCAATTCAAATTGAAAAGCATTACAGCACTGAGCTGATGTATTTTAGTCTTTTAAAAATTATTTATATTATGTTTATACAACATTTTTCTTTTTTTTATTTCCAAATAAATCAAATGTTGTTTTTTTTTCAAATGTATTTTTCAAACTCATTTGTTTCATAAATCAGTCTTAAGCAAAAAGTTCCTAGTGTCGCAGATTTTCATTTACCTTATTCCATATATTTATACACTGTTTGCTTTTCTTGTTTTTACTCCGATTAAAAAACATTTTTTGTATCTCGGCAATATCCATCTAACAGGCTTTCCTGGTTAACTCACCAATAATAACCAATTTCTCCGCAAGTGGCAAACTACTATATAACTATTAAAACGTAATAACAATAAAATAAAATATGACTGGTACCCGGTCTTTGAAAGCTTTATAAGGATCATGTTTGAGGGAACCATCAGGTTGACGTAGGTGCATGTCTTTCACACTGACATCTGCCCAGGAATGTGCCTTCAACATCTGAAAAAAAAATCGCTTGACATTTGATATACAAAATATTCCTGTGTCACAGCAAAAAGTAAATATCACTTATGGCTTTCAAACATATCATAATCATGAATAAATGTTATGATAATATCATGATATCTCCTTTGTTAAAAATATGCAGTATTTTGTTTATTATAGTATAAGCAACACAATTTATTGCAAAACATCTTTTTTGGATCAACTTAACTATTTACAAAAAAATAAATATTTAAAAATCAAACCAAAAAAAAAAAAATGTTTATGGTGAAATATCAAAAGTAAAAGTAGATTAAACAAAGAATCCATTTATCTAAAACTCGTAACAATTATCTACCCCTCATATATTTGAAATTAAATATTCAATTTTCATTAAAGAAAAAACAATAAACCAACATCACGTGTTTAACATCATTATGGTATCATTTTCTACCTGACCTTATACAGTTAATTATTTCTAATTGAACAAATTCATAAATGAGTGGCCACTTATCAATTAGGGTTAAAGGTTATCAGAGACCAACATGGCAGTTGATTTTCTTAATTCATGCAATCTATCAGATTAAATTAATTGATTATCAATAAATAATCTACCATCTACTAGATTAAATTAATTATCGATAAATAATCTATGTACAATCTATTAGATTAAATGAATTATCAATTAATAATCAATTTGTTGACAATTTTGTCATTTCCATATAGCACGAAGATGTCATTTATCAGTTATATTTGTCATTGTTCAATAATTCATCTGCCTTAATTGGAATCAATTTTCTAATTCTTGGAAAAATCAATCACTTAATCCATTAAATAACTTCTTGACAAGCCAATACTTTTAGCCCTTAAACCGTGAAGAAATTAATAATAAACATCTTGACATGTCAAAGATTTTGAAGCGTTTAATAACAATTAAGTTGAAGAATTATTACACTCTTTAATAAATATAAGATCATATTGGAAGATTTCCTGCAAAACTAATGTAATGACTGTAATGTAAAGATGTCCCTTGAGAGGGTCAAGGCTGGAACTGTCACTCTTGTTCAACCATTTAATATTAATTTGCAAATTAAATAGTTTTCTGAAAGATGGAATTTTGCAGTTGAAATGGTTTTTTGAAAGACAGAGTTTTGCAATTGAAATGGTTTTCTGAAAGATTTTCATAGACATCTGATTATTTTTTTGAGCAGCATTCAGCTACTATTTTTGTTTAAAAAACAATATTTTGTGCTGTTTCTAAAACTAATTATCTTGGAAAGGTGCATCATATCACTGTTAAGCCTAATTCTTCAACACAGCTTCTTAGCAACAGTAATGTTAATTTAAAAATAAAAGATCGGGGAAACAAATTGTCCGCTTTACTAATTTATAGAGTGGACCAGTATATAAGAGGTGTCAAGGGTTTTCCTTATTGTTCATGTATTTTAACAACAGCAAATTTCATTTTCCACCTTGATTCTTTTGATTTGACAATATGATGAAATGGTTTATCTAAAATAAGATCTCTAACCTTTAATAAAGCTGGAGGCAGCTTTAATGACATATTTAGCAAACATTATTCCCCTTGAGTTCACAGGAATGAATGAGTATAAAATTGATTCTCTAAAAGTACCTACTATGGCATTAAACCTGTTTACAAAAATCAGAAAAATAATTTCAGACAATATCTTAAGATGAAGATGGCATGCGGAAATTTTTTTCATGAGTCATGTTCAAACAAAATGACTTCATGATCATAAAAATTAAGAATCTGTCTCTTTAAGAGCCTCAGTTAAACATTGGAAATATAGCTTTCAGAATGATGCCCCTTGTCAAACTACTGTGCATTTTCATGATAAGCAAGCATTACAAGTTTCTTATTGATACCTTTAAAATTGATTTGTGTAATTAGCTACATTAAAGTTTTTGCACAATGAAAAAGCTGCCTCAGTGATTTTTTTCTTTGAAACAGGAGAACTAATAATACATAATGTTTAATTATTGCTACAATGGATATAATAATACTATTGGTCCAATATAAGTTGGGTATGAATAATAAATAAATTCTACATGAGGTCCTAATGGGTCCTATAAGGTAAAGCATACATGATTGTATATGTTTAATATTGATACATTTGTATATGAATATTATTATATATATAACACAAGCGAGGACACTAACTTTATACACAGGTAAAGGAATTATAAATTAGCATGAATTATAGGGATATTGTATGACTAAAGTAACTTGAAGTTTTTCTTCATCTAAATAGTCATCTTAAAATGTGGTGAAGTACTATAAATGTACATAGTCATGTTATGTGGTGGTGAAGTACTAATGTACACAGTCATTTATGTGGTGAAGTATTAAATGCAAACAGTCATTTTATGTGGTGGAGATGAAGTACTAAATGTACATAGTCATGTTATGTGGTGATGAAGTACTAAATGTACATAGTCATCTTATGTGGTGGTGAAGTACTAAATGTACACAGTCATTTTATGTGGTGGTGATGAAGTACTAAATGTACATAGTACATAGTCAACTTATGTGGTGGTGAAGTACTAAATGTACATAGTAATCTTATGTGGTGGTGAAGTACTAAATGTACACAATTATTTTATGTGGTGGTGATAAAGTACTAAATGTACATAGTCATGTTATGGTCTATAGTTATTATGTTTGCCAAACAGAAATGCAAATGAGTTACTTGTCACAAAATTTAGTTTACTCTTGAATTAAGAATTATGAAGTGATGAACATTGATTTTTATTAAAATGTACAGATTCTCAATCCCCTAAAAATAATCTGTTACTCTGATTTAATATGAAGTTGGAATCTTTTTATTTATTTGAATAAAGAAGGTTTTTATGACTTTGAAACGCCTGCAAAGGGCACCTTCAAACTGTGACTTTATATCCTTTTTTTATTATTTGGATTTCACGACAGTGTATGTCTAGGGTCCTAAACTATTTCAATATATATCTTATTTGAAGGTCAGTTTAAATCTAATTCAAAATTACCCCCTTTTTCACAAATACAGTTTACTTCTGTATGATACAAAATTTCATTCAAATTATATTAATAATTACAAAATTTCATTCAAATTATATTAATAATTACAAGCTTTTAGTTAATACTATCTTTAAATCACAGAATTTGACTAAAACAATTTTTAATTTTTTAATTTTTCTTTTGAGTTGCGAAATTATTTTACCTAAGGAAAGAATTTTATTTCTGTACATAGCAAACATTACTGGTAACATTATTTGATACCTCTGAAAAGTCTTGGTGTCAAAGTTCAAAACATGGCCTAACTATAAAGCAAAATATTATGAAAATCTATTTTTAGCCTTAGTGACCTAGACCTTAACAAAATTTAGCTAAAACCCTATCCAAGGTTAGGTGTCTTTGCAAAACTATATTAGGTAACACCACAGAAAATATCTCAGAAATCTGAGTCAATAAATGAATGTACTTTGAAAAATGGACACAAGAATGGAACATATGAATAAATTAAGGACAAACTGGTTTTATTTCTTAACAAAAATAATCTTGATGCATAAAAATCTGTCCAAGATAAAATTCAGTATTAAATAATAAAGAATGTATATTCTCAACAAAAACTCTTGAAATTAAAAAATAATTTTGAGAGACTACAAATAAAAGATTTTTTCCAAGATAGGTATCTTAAATTAAAAAGCCATATCAGAGCTGTAATAAGTAAACAACTATTTTCTACTGTGCTATTAAATCTAGAAATATCCAAACCCATTTAGTTAGATATAAACTGACCTCAAATATAATTTTAAAGATATATAATAAAGGCAAGGCATATAAACTAATTGTAACTGGTAAAAATTCGTTATATGTATTTTTCATTTTATACCTTTAAGGAGAAAAAACTCTGAAATCATAGTAGAAAAAACATTCAGACTTAAAGCATTATATTTTTTTACATTATTTTAATTAATGCATGCATATTTGGTTACACATAAAATTAGCATGCAATTTATATGGAAGGGAACTATTAAGAAATGATAAAATAAAATCAAAATGGAAAAATAAAATGTATAATATCATAAATTGTTAACACTTTTCAAGAGCAGTTATAAATGTACATTATGAGATGGAGCTAGGACATAATATTACATGACTAGCACCGCATTATCTTTCCATCCAGTCAGGAGCAAACGTGGTGGTGGTTTCGAAGTTTACACTCTGGATCATGGCAGAAAGCCACATCAAAATTTACCACACTTCAGCCACCTCAGTTTTGTATTTAAATGGTCATAGGATAATGTTATGAAAATCTTAAAAAGTAAGCTATGTGGTTTTTTTTTATGATTACATCATTAGAATATTATCTAAATATACTTTGCTTATCAATTGATCAGCTGTCAAATGCCACCGTAAGACTGCTTATCTAGTTAGTAGTTGCTTGTCCCATTATTTTGTCCCATGTTTGAGGGATTTTAATCTCGAATAACTAAATAGGACATTTTTGTTTTGTTTGTTTGTTTTATTTCACGCCTTTACTCAACAGTATTTCAGTCATATAGGCGGGTAGTTTCCTAACCATCGTTCCTGGAGAGTTACATCAGTACTAGACTACATTCTGCCGAAATCAAACAGCATAGGGTCTGGTCAGACAGGCTGCGTGGATTAGTGCAAGCTAATCTGGCTTTATACTGGTGGCATGTTGAGTCATAAAAGCCTCCCTCCCACTTCCCCCCACGCCCCACCCCCCTGACCCCAAAAACTTCAAAGTTAACTATTTAGAACAAACCGTTTCATGAACAAAATAACCAAGAAGGAAGATATGTGTATGAAATTCCATAATTGCAGCTTTGTAAATCTGAATGATTTAAAAATTTGTCATATTTTGATGATTTGAAAAAAACAAAAACTTCAAAACTCCTGAAAAATGTCAACAAGGTGTTTTAAGTTAAAGACATTTTAATTAAGTTGTGAAGATAATGTATTATTGTATTGTTTATATCCTACAAATGGGAGATAATTTACCTGTTTGGATGCAGACTTTGGTTTTCTTATCAGCAGCAAACATTTGTCTTCAGCTTGGGTTTTCTCATAAGATTTTAAAACATTGTCTGAGTCCTTCAAAAATGAGTGAACTGAAAAATAAGATAAGCAAACCTTAAATGTAAAAACATTATAAATCATTTATACAAAATAAACAGCCAACTATTATCCAGATCAAAACATTCTCATGTATAAATATTTCAATTTTGCTGTTTTAGACATTCTTTTAACATTCTTTTCTTTCTACTTCAGATATATGTTATAATTACTATATAACACTATCTTGTTTTAACACCTACAGGAACAAAAGCTGTTAAAAAACATGCTGAAAAATAATGCATGCTGTAAAAGCAAAGATTGATAGACACTTACCATGACCAAAACTTGAACCAATGGCAACAGTGTATTTGGAAGATTTCTGTTTCTTCTTTTCTTCTGATGCGGATGACAATGATATCACATTTTTGGTAACTGTTTTAGTCTTGTCCTCATCTGTGACATAGACAGCCCCACATTTTACCTGCAAAAAGAAGAATAAAAAGTTTATCTACAAGAAATATTTTCAAATTTGTTTTCATAATATGCATTATATAATTATAACAAATTTGTTGTTTGTTTTTTTTCTGATAATTCTTAAGTGCCGGATATCAAGTGTCATGATGACAATCACATGATGCCTTTCCTGGGCTTTCCTCGTGGTTGAGGACTTCAGGTGGGCCTCTGTACATTATTTCAATCACAAGAAGGCACCCAAGTGTACCACTGACTATCCTTATGCAAAGTGAATAAGGTCAAGCAGCGTGATAACCTAATATAAGTCCTTACCAGGATTCAAACTTAAAACGGAAATAGTTTGGTGACTTTAAGTCTTAGACCTTATAACCACTCTACCATGGAGGCTCCTTCCTTTTTAATAACCTTGAAAAATTAACATCAAAACCTTTCTTACAAAAGCTTAGCTTCATTTACACTGCCTGTTTGTGTTACAGTATTATCATAATGATTATTTTCTTATATACTTCATAAATATTAATCACATATGATACAATGTAATATAAGAATTGACATCAAAGTTAAAAGCAGGATAATAATATATCATATATCCAAGTTATAAATTTCACAAAAATAGGGTAACTCCATACAACCGGTTTTAAAACACTCATTTTCATACCCTAGAACCTGTTTTTATACACATTAATGAAATAGGATAATCCAAATTGCATCTAATCACTTTTTTAGTCGCATTACCATTTTTTCAAGTATTCCCATCCTGTCTTAAAACACTTTTAACCTGTCTACATGTATATATTTTCACTAAAATTAATCTTAAATCAATCATTAAACTTCTATAACTTATATAAAAAAAAATATGGGACCGATACAAAGTTTGTTTTAAATCAAAATAGTGAAAATAATTTGACCAATTATGGTGTAAAATACACATACAGAATTTATAATCTCTAAAAATGGCCACATGCCTTTCAAAAGGTCAAGGAATTTAAATCTATATAAGCCGCTATGAACAGAAAAACAAGTATGGTAATGTATTACCTTACTTCAAATCTTATAAAGGTGAATATCATTAAGGACACATGAAAGGAGTTCCTGTCAGAATGGACTCAAAAAATAATATTCAACTTCTTGCTCCAAATAAAAAATTTTTAGGGATGGAGGTTGTTGTAATGACCTATTAAGCCCCTTGACTTCTAATGACAATAATAATAGAATAATTTCATGTCTTCAGTAGACTCTGAAACTCTTCTCTTAATTAAGGGCAGAACCTCAAGGATACAGTGTCCATTTATAAAATAACAGAATTTATTTATACAATTACAAAAAAGTTGGAATAGGGCACACACAACATTGCACAGACCTAATTAAGCCAGCTTGTAAATAAAGTAAAAATCAGACTATAATTATGGTCTTCATATACTTGCATTAATGTTATTTTAAGGGCAAAAAGTTTAAACGTGACACCAAAAAAACCCTGTAAAATAAACAAGAGATGTTTGTATAACAATTGTGAAATCTCCTAACCCAGAAGATAACCGCCACCTGGTACATTATACATAGTTTATTTAGATGACATGGACACCATGAACATTAAACAACAGCTTTTACAGGACAGCATGCTCAATATTATCAGCCCTTGAGTGATGTACGAATTTTATTAAGTTCACAAAAAAAGGGGAGTTACTCAATGAAAATAAGGTAACAAACGGGGATAATTGAATAAATTTCATGCTTGAGTGATGTATGAATTTTTCTAAGTTTATAAAAAGGGGAATAACACAGTAAAGATAAGGTCACAAAGGGGGCTAAATTGAATAAATTTCACCCTTGATTTTTCTAAGTTTATAAAAAAGGGGGAGTAACTCAGTAAAAATAAAGCTACAAAGGGGGGTAATTAAATAAATATCAGTGCTATATATAATTCTTGAGACTGAAAAAGTGGGCGTTTCTTTCAACTTCTACAATTATGAGTGAAGTTTTAACTGAATACCTATAATTATTAAATATTAAATACCTATAATTATCAAAGAAGACAAAGAAGCAGCTCACCGACACTTTATATGCCAGTGCTGGGATGAGTACGAAATTAGCTCCCTTGCTCTTTTTAAGTTTTAACAATTTTGTTTACATGTAATCTTTTCATTTACATAATAAATTACATAAAACAGAAATTTTACGGATTGAGTAGGGAAAAGTTGTTTTTAAAACTCTCTTGCTATTTGGTAAAGTCAAGTTTGAATATATTACTTAAGGTAGACCATGGGTAATGCATTACCTCCATATTGAAGAGTATTCAAACAGGCTAGAATCGCTTGTCAACTACATTGAAATTGAGGGGCGTGGGTTCAATCCCCAGAAGGGGCAACTTTTTTTTCTTTCTTTTTTTCTTTTTAACATTATTTATGTATCTCTCTGATCCCTTATGGAAGAAAAAAAGTTTTATTTAAATTATATAATTATTTTAGGTATTTTTTTTGCTAAATAATGCCAAAATTTATAGCAAATATGATACCAGGTATTTTCAAAGTTCAATAAAATAAAAACTACACGGTAAAAGTATTTTATATTTCGCATGATTAACTAATATACCTTTGAGAAAATTTAGGCAAACTTTGAAAACAGACCCTCATTTCGATAAATTTTAGGGATATTTTGAATAAGGCATTTTAGATAGGGAAATGGTAAAATTAGTGTTAAAAGTGGGTGGGGTAGGGTAACATTTTTATACATATTAAGAACATTTTGTTTAGAAACAAACATTTTGCTTGTGTAATGTGTTACCTGAATGTTATTATTTGTTTCTTAACAATGAGCAATAGAAAAACATTTTTTGTAATGATGATATTACAGATTATTTACAGTTTCCTCATTTCTGAAAATAAGCCCTTTTAATGGCAAAGTCTTAGTTCAGAAATATATCCATAACTCATAAACCACACGGTAAATTTTATTTACATTTTGCATAAAGGTGACCTTGAAGACATATAACAGTCCTATGTTGTCAATTTTACAGTTCCTTATGGTGCCCATTACCCATGGTCTACCTTAACTGATACAACAAAAAACAGTTCTGCGTCAGAATAATTAAAATTTGCTAGGATTGCGTAACTGTTATGCCCACTACTAAAAGAAAAAAACAAGTGAAACTTTTGACCCTTTTATTTTTTCAAACCTGTTTTATGATTAATAAGTTTTACTTGGCAAGATTCCTACAAATTATACGGTAATGTTGTAGTTTAACATATTACTAATGACTTTTAAATTTGGTGTTAACTTCGCTTGATTGTGATTAAAGAATTATTTCACAATAGAGTGCTAAAATGTTCATTGAACTGACGATTTTGTGTTCTAATTCCTGTCTAATTCCTGTCTAAATATGGCTTATATTACGTTCACAGAAAGTTTTGAATTATTATGAATGGTATTCGACCTAATTAATATCTAATTAGGAATTAGATAATTAACTAAAAGTGCCATGCATATGATATAGAAGGGTTTTGAGTTTGTATGGGGTGTAACTGAAGCACAAAACACTGTCAACAACATATTTAAGCAGCTTGCCTCCAAATTCATACTAATTTTCATTAAACTTTTTGAAAATGTTTTTTAGAGTATAAATAATGTGAAGTTAAAAAGTTAAAAAGGAAGTAATTTACACATTGCAAATGGCACCTACAATCTAAGTCAATTACCAAAAAGTGGTCACAATATGCCTAAATTAAGCCCAAACTGCCTTTATTTAGTCACGCAGTAGAAATAAATACCGCAAAATCAAGCAATTATCGCGCATTGGATGTAAATTATTTACTTGTATCTTAAAAACTTAGCACATTTTTCTCAAGTTTGATTTTCTTGAACTATTTCCACTCATGTGGAGGCATGAAGCTTTAATTGTTAAAATTAAATATCAATTTTTTTCAATAAAGATAAGAAAAATTGTTTTTATTGATAGGCAGAATATCTCAATTTCATACCCAGATAGTTTACACTTGAACAGTCAAGCAGCCATTTAAATCTATATATACTCAAATGCACAATATGTTACAATATAAAAAATATATGAAACCTTAAATTTTAGTTACAATTTAAATTCACACTTTGGCTGTATTGATTTTTCAAACACATATTTTAAGCTGTTGTTTTTTTGTGTCTTATTTTTATAATATTTACCTTAAAATCTTTGTTTTGTTCTTCTGGATCAGTCCCTAAATTTAAATTACTATTTTCTACATTCTGTAATCTTGTATTCTGAGAGTAGGCTACTATCCAAACCATTCTTAATCTATAGTCATGGTTTCATTATGTATGTATATCCTGAATTAGTCAGAATTACTGTACACAATATAGCATATATCATGCAGTTGTTTACCATTAAAGTGCACCAGTTATTCACTGTTCACAATATAGCACACCAGTGGTGCATTGTTCACCAAATAGCACACCAGTTATTCACTGTTCACAATATAGCACACCAGTGGTGCATTGTTCACCAAATAGCACACCAGTTATTCACTGTTCACAATATAGCACACCAGTGGTGCATTGTTCACCAAATAGCACACCAGTTATTCACTGTTCACAATATAGCACATCAGTGGTGCATTGTTCACCAAATTGCACACCAGTTATTCACTGTTCACAATATAGCACATCAGTGGTGCATTGTTCACCAAATTGCACACCAGTTATTCACTGTTCACAATATAGCACACCAGTAGTGCATTGTTCACCAAATAGCACACCAGTTATTCACTGTTCACAATATAGCACACCAGTGGTGCATTGTTCACCAAATAGCACACCAGTTATTCACTGTTCACAATATAGCACACCAGTGGTGCATTGTTCACCAAATAGCACACCAGTTATTCACTGTTCACAATATAGCACATCAGTGGTGCATTGTTCACCAAATTGCACACCAGTTATTCACTGTTCACAATATAGCACACCAGTGGTGCATTGTTCACCAAATAGCACACCAGTTATTCACTGTTCACAATATAG